TTATCAAACGATAACATGTTACTAATGTAATTTCTATTATTACACATTATTAAAGGTATGGAAAACACATGAGTGGAGCTCCAAACTAATCGACATTACAATCTTCCATAAAAAAAAAGTCTTGCAGAAACACCATGACTTCATGGACAAAAACATAAAGTGTCACCATTCCTCATAATAAAAATAAAAATAATAATAAAATTTAACGTGAAATCTCGTAATTATCAAAGTTACATTACGCAAATACAGTTTTATGATGCGAATTTGTTGTTACAAAGTATGAAAGGAATACGACGAGAAGCTTCAGAACCTTTGAAGGTTTTCATAGAGTAAAAAATCTTGAAGAAACACAGTTTTTTCTCTTGTTTGGTTCACATAGGTGAAAGGCCCTTTAACGATCAGCCGCAGAAATTGGTGCGCGCGTGACGCATGCACGGGGACCACCGGCGTAAACAGAATTATACAATACCGAACGGGCTGCCATTAATTAGAATAACTTTGTTGGCACGTGGTCGCGCGCGCGCGTTCGCGGAACGCTTTTATATTAATGGCGTGCAAAATGTTTTGACACCCCGACGCAAGCTGCGGATTTTTAATTGAGACATATCGCGGGTCCGCGCTCTGGACGTGTTATAAACAATTTGCCCGATTATACGTTCAATCGACGAAGATACCCTTCGTGGAAATTTAACGCAAAGCGTTTATTTGCCTAAACTTGTTTTTCTTGGGGTATCTTCGCGATTGAAGTATTAGTTTGTATCGTATAAAATTGCCGTTTACGCGAATCAAAGTTATTCATTTTGCAAATAAATTAAAATTGAAAAAGTTGAAATTCTAACATAGAAAAACTTTCTGCACTGTCGTAATTTGTATCATTATATATTCTCTGAAGTATAAAATGTACTTGTGTGAAATTTAAAATTTGTTTGCTTTACAGATTTTTCAAAAAGAAATTTTAACAGTACTTCTTCGACTTACAACTGAAATTAAAAATATAAGATGTGATCATTGTCCATAGATGTTATTAAATGAAATTCCCTTTAAAATTTGGATTTTAATATATTTATGAATAATTATAACATAGATTCATCACTATACAGAATAACATAATGTTGGAATTTTATAGTTAACGCCAGGATCGTAGATTTTCATTTTTTCACTTCCCCTCGAGAAATCATGTTAATAAGTAGTCGCAAACCGTCGACGTCGGACATAGATCAGCCGATACCAATCTGGTTCTTGCGATAGCATACTAATTGAATGAACCGGTAAATGGATTCAGCTCTAAAATGAATTATCGATACAAAAGCTGGTAACAGAAATGTGTAAATTAAACACACATTGCGTTATTTAAACGAAAAACTCACCTGAACAATTAATTAAGCAATTCGATGAATACCTGCTATGCGTGAAATCGCTCTAACATGTATTAATCAATTATTGTAATTGGTACTAAATTCCAAACATATATTTCATTTGTAAGTAATTAGTTATATAATTATTCTAATCTGTCAAATTTACGAATTGGTTTCATTGTACTTGATTCTTGAGGAAATAATATATCAATTTAATAAATCCCCTATTTCTAGTAGGAAGAATTTATGTTTTATAATAGCACCTTTTGGCATCTACTCCAACTGAATAATCTAAATAAAATTTTAATCCAAGTTCATTCCACTTAATTAACCGAAATGAATGAACGTAGGCATTGTTTCCAGTATCAATGAGACTAATCTACATGACACGTTATTTAATTCACAGTTATTCATCGAGGCAAATAGTTCAAAAAATATTGCAAGTGGAAACTTGTCGAACCGACCACGACCAGGTAATTAAGACCTCATCAAACGAGATTAGAAGCAGCGAAAATGGAAAAAGCGTCGGAACACGTGTTACCGTTCGACGTACAGTTTCATCGGGCACAATAAGAACGTCTGATTGACCGATGGAAATGTCACGAGGTGCTTATTACACAATCACGAAATAAGCATTTTGAACAGGTCATCTAAGGTCTCAGATTAATCTTCTTCCCTCCGCTTTATCCACGTAGCAACGAACCGATTGTGTCGCGTTCGAATGTTGTTTATTTGATTTCGCCGAAATGAAGAAAAAAAAAGAGAAACGAAACAAACACGTGCAAGCAGATACGTGGTACAGATACCTGCTTAACGAGTATGCAACAGGAGCAAGCATGCACATTTTGATCTAAGGATGCATTTGCGTACGTGATTACGGTCGCCCGCTTATTTTAACGTTATTTCGCGACGTTGAACTCTGCCGACTCTAACGGCACATCCAGAGTTTTCGCGTTCGCTTTAATCGACGTTTCTCGAATTCCAAGGTTTTGGTAAAATAATACAGACTCGTTTCAATTGCACACCCATTATCAAAAATTTAGCTTGGAAAAAACCGTCGCGGTATCAACGCACGCGCGTGCACCAGGAGGCGAATTTTATCGCCGCCACGCGTCGACTTTGACTCGAAACGCTGCGAACGGATCATCGACGTATCCTTAACCCTATAGAGTCAAAAAGGTTCGAGGACCACGGTCTGTTTTTTTCGTATTCATATTTTTCGTAAACAGCGATGTTTGGGTTTTTACTCCAGGGGAAATGTTCGCGATGTCGATTACTGGAATGAAAGACGTTTCGTCGTATACTTCTATTGTAGAACATTTCAAATAATTTCACAACTAGCGGTAGATATATCCCTGAGGAGGTTAAAACGAGTCGCGGTGACTATTATAAATCAATTTATCGACTAAGAGCTTCAGCGAAGTCATCACTTTGCGACTGCCTTCTTGGAACAGAAAAAATAACATGAAGAAACGAACTTTTATTTCATGAGTAATTCAACTTGTTGTGTTTTTCTTAGTGCATTTGGCGTAGTTAGGTATTCGAACTGTATCTGAAGTAGTCAAATATTCGTGCCCTATTTGGTGTAGTCAAGCATTCGATCTAGATTTCGAAGAGTCAACTATTCACAGCTACTCCAGTATTCGAACCATAATTCGACCAGTACACTTCCGAAAAAAAAATGACGAGAAGTTTCCCAAGTCTACTCGAGACAAAATTCTCGAGCACGATCATTCCCGCGCATCGATGGATCGCCCTGTAGACGGACGGGCGAGTATTACGTCGAGCAAATCCGATTCACGCACTATCGACGCGTTACCTAATAGCCGTACATACTACGTAAACGCAGATACACGTATGCATACATACACGTACATCGTGGCGACGTCACGTGCCCGACGAAGGCACCTGCGCTCACGCAAAGTAAAAATATAGGTGCGCGAAACGAACTGTGGCAATTGCCACGGGCTGGCACACCGGCGCGGCAGACCTGTGTGCGCATGAACGCGAACCAGCCCGAGTTCCGTTCACGCAACGAGCAATGCGTTACCTAAGAACGCGTAGACGCGCAATTTCAGTCGACATCGCCCGCGTTCCCCGCCACCCTCGCTTCGAACCGTCGCCGCACGTTGCGGACGATCTATGAAAAACAACGTGTACGCGGACGCGCATGCAACGACGGATCGATCTCCGAACAACGACGAACGCGGCAGACAATAATCGCGCTCATCACGCGGGAAAATACCTCGACGAGCGCCGACGAGGGTCACCCTGCGAAAAACCCTGGCCATAATGAGGTATCAAGGCAGTCGGATGGGGCATTTTTCCCCCCTGCCTGAGAATCTTGTCCCAGGGTTGCCAGATTGGCTTTTTCTTCACGCCGAATTCACGAAATTCGACGTTTTCTACCTGTTTAATTAGTCGTCCGAGATTAAATTATTTTACGATTCTGAAACTGTTTGAGGTTATTGTTGGATGTGACTGATAAGGAACGTGTGAGATCTGATCTGATTTTTCTAATACTTAGAAAATAGAAAAGTATGGATTGTTTTCATGAAATCTGGAGGCCTGAAAAATTGAAATATCAGGAATAGCAATATTTGAAAAAATTTGCAACGTAATCCTATGACGTGCAACAACCAAAGGCATAGGTACCATAATAATTTCAAAATGCATACAAAATATACCAAGAGAATGATTCTATCATGGATATCGAGCAGCACGATTTCCCAACATTTTCAACCTCCGGAAAAAAAAATAATACTCTCGGCCACGCAACGCTGCTTAATTAAAGCAAGATTCCATCGTTTCGGACAAAAATATACGTGTAATATACTTGGTCTATTTTCTTATTAAAACTAAATTTTTCTTATACTTCCTCTACCACTTTTCTAGGGCTGTTCAATCCACAATTAAGATATCAATCCATCAACCCTGACCTCTACAAATGCTCTCTTTTCCCTCTAGGTACCTCTTTTATCGCCCCTACGTTGCGTCGTTCCGTCGCGCGTCGGCGTCGGCGCTGAACCCAAGAGATTTTCTAGATCATCACCGACAAAACGGTTGCTATAGCGCGACGACGAAAAAAGCAAGGACGATGGGGAATTACAGAAATAGCGATCAATCCTTTGGCAGTTAGATTTAATTACGATTCGGGGGCATTATCGCTAGCGAAAAGAAAGAACGATCGCTAGCTATACGAGCTAATCGTTTAATTCCCGTAGTCTGGTTTCGAAGTAAGGATTCGAGACCTGAATCGAAACGCCGATTCTCGGTACCGCATATATTTTTGTAAGTATTCTCGGAAACCCGTCACTCCACTTATCGCTGTGCAACTATGGCAATCGATGCAGGAAAATTCACGCCGTTCCACGGATATTGCAACAAAATGATTACATTCGCGCGGTTTTTCTTGCGCAAAAACGTAAACGCACTTTGATTCATGCAGCCACGATCTTCGATCGATTACGGATGAATAAATTATTGTTGAAAAATGATCGTCGTAACTAGGTTCCGACTGCAAATTCGCGTACAAACAATTTCTGTTGGAAGACGTTAGACTTGGAAACTTCGAGCTGGACTGGAGCTGAAAGTGTTCCAATCTTACAACATTGTTGAAAGATGAAGCGATGATTTACTAATAAAAATGAATGTCAAATTTGAGGTCATAATGGTAAAAAAATAAAATAGAAAATGTCAAAGTAAAATTGAAACTAGCATACCCAAATAAAATCAATCACAGATCTCAATCTTAATCCCAACTTTTTCGACCTCTTTATGCCTTCCAAGTCGTTAGAACTCGCACGTGCTCCGCAATTAATATCCTAGTACAATACAAATCATCCAATCTCGACTCCATCATTTATGCACGGAATGAAATCCACCGACATTGTCTTGATCTTGCAAAAAAAAAAAAATTTTCGCTTGGATCGATGAAGAAACACCCATCGCGAACACCGCGGGGGATTACGCGCGTTAACGCGCCGCGACGCGCGGCCTTCTTTCTCGGGCTATAAGAAACTATTGACATTGAGGCAATTCAATTTGCACGATGGATTTGCGTACGGAGCCGTAGCCGGCTCGGTTCGCCGTAAATTCCGGTTCTTACGGCTGGCGATCACGAGTTATCAGCCTGGGAATAATTTATCGGCGACGATCGCATTAAAGTAGCCACAATGAAATTATTCCCCGCGGCGACGGCGTCTGTGCGCGAGTCCACGTGTGGCCTACGTAAACGCGCTCGCTCGCGTCGCTATGTAGCCGGCAGTCGGGCGCAATTAGTATTACCTAAGAATCTATATAGCCAGCTGCATCGTAACGACTATATCCGTACGAAAAGTATGCGCGTACCTGTTCGCGCGTGTACGAGTTTCAACCGATCCATGGGAGAGACGGTGTTTCGCGCCACCTGGCCAGAACGCTTGTTTACCTTTTCTAATCCGAAGTCACACGTGTCGCGCGTCCGGGAATCCTTCTATAATTCCGATCGCTGTATCGCGACTCCGCTTCCGTCAACCTTGCGTTTCCGTTACGATGCATACTTTTGTCGGTTTTTGTTTGTAACAGAAAATTGTTGGTATAATAAGCAGGTGCCTCTAGGCGTCATACTCCGATGGGTGCCCTTGATTATTTAGGGTTAGATGGGGTAGAAATTGCCACATCTCTTGCTCAAACTAATATGCATAAGTTGAACGTACTCGTTATTGATCAGTCTAATATTTTTTGTAAAGTTGCTCATTCTTTTCCCAATCCGACGAAAACAAATTGTTTTTAATATAAATGTATTATTTAATTATTCACCCTGTTATTGTATGCAACTTGAGCTTTATTTTCATTTTAAATTGCGTCAAAAGAGAGTCTCAGAGAGTCAAAAGAATTCATTCTCCTTTTTTAAATATATGGTTCTTTAACACTAATTCTGATTACATGTTTTAGACTTTCCTCGTGATGAAAACAAGGTCCTTTATAGGACATCAAGACAGAGTCGTAATCAATCCTTTGTGCTTAAGGTTTCAATCAACACAGAAGGTAATATACTTGACGATACACAATAAATATCAAAGTTTATGTGATTCTTCTTCTTTTCACCTGATATCTTGACAAGTGACCGGATTCATCTATTTAATGATAAGAGAAATCATTATGTTTTATTACATGTACATTCTTTCATTCAACATTTCAGCATATTACTATTGCAAAAGGTGAATCAAACGAATGAAAACAAGAATGTATTAAAAAGAATTCATATTAATGAGAAACACACCGATGCTGAATAACTCCCAGGAGAAATATATTAAAAAGAATATCTCAATAAAAATATAAAAATATTAAACGTAGAAATCAGTTTGAGCGTCAAAAGTAACATAACAACCTCACAGAGTTTAACAAAATATCGAATGAAAACAATTTATTAAAATGAATTGATATTAATGAAAAATAAACAGACGCTGAACAAAGTGAAATTGAAATGAATGAAAAATATTTAAATATCTGCTTTTATCGTAAGCAGATAAGTTTTCATTTTATTCTGTGGATTTTATATCGTTGTCGAAGTTGCATGTCCATTCGTTTGTTTTAATTATAGATATGCAAAACGAATATATCAAGTATTATCGATGGCTTAACGCACGCATACTGCATGTCCTCAATGTTTACGAAAAAAAGAAACAAGTTTGAAGATTCGATGATACTTAAAAATCGAACGAATAATTTTTGCATTATATTATGATTACAACGAATTTCCATCATCCAGTAGAAATGAAAGTCATACACCAAATTCCCACGGTAGATGGTATGATAATTATACAACACGAGTAAACAGCCATGTTGGGACCAAATTAAACATAAGAAGCGCCTGTAGGGAGCCGCCAAAATCAATGAAAAAAATTTCGAAGAACAATTCATTGCCATTCATCTAAGCGCTCCGAAATCGCGAGACTTTTTCACGAGCGGCAATATTATACTGGAGCGGTATAGCATTAGACTAAATCGCAGCATAATCGCCCGCGAATATATTTGTTCGTTGGACGTGTCCGTCTCGTTCTATCTTCATCGCGTTTACCTTCCTCTCGAGTCGTCGCGCACGTAAATTCGAGTTACGCCAGTCGGGCACCGTGCGAAATTTCTAATTTCGAGGTCAGCCACGCGGCAAAGTACGTCCGAAATAATTGCCTTACCGTGGCTGCGTGAGACGTCAATGCGTTTGATATTCTTACACGCTCTCTACTCCCACCCCTTAACGCGGCGAACAAGAGTTTTTTTGGTCCAACGAGACGCCTATGGCTCTACGAATCGCGAAGATCTGCGAGGGAAACGTGCGCCGTCTCTGTGTATGCAGTTGTGCGCGTGAGCGTTTCACACCTGACTACTACGCTAGTCATGCGAGCGACGGTGGCGACATCCGATATTTAAAAAACGATCGTATCGAAGCGAAAATCATACGAAAATTCATCATTTCACTGTACACGATTTATCGTGGACGAATCGCGCGGCTGGGCGGCGTCGAATCGATTTATTTTGTCGGTAAAGTCTGCGCGGCGAACACGGTAGGTTAGTTGACCGCGGGGCCGAGCGAGCGCTGAGCTGACAGTAGGCCGGCGACGTCACAGTGGGCCGGTTGAGCCTTCCTTCGTTCGATTCAGGCAGGCTCTCTATTCATTTTACATGTAGCAAGGTAAATATTTCTATTACCGAGTGTCCGTTACGAAAATACGTGGCTACGAGTGCGTGAATATATCGTTCGTCTGGGGATCTGTGATACGCGGAGTTTTTCCATTTTTCTATCAATTTTTTATTCTGTCACGTCCGATACTCTTCGAACGAAAAAACCGAGCATAATTCATCCCCATCGCAAGGGATGCGAGATGAAGATTCCGTTTACCCTTTCCTCCGTTTCCGTACTCCGTTTTATTTATTCTATTTTTTTTTTTCGTGACCGGTTCCTGTTACGAGATCACCGAACACGCTGCTACTGCTACTGTTGTTGTCGTCGCTGGTGTTCGCTGTCACAGCGATCCCTGTGGAGAACCGGAGGCGAACACACGGTTTCTCGCAACCGTTCGCCAAGACCACGATGGCAGGACACACGGAACACGCACTTTCCCCGTACACGCTCATGGACGCACGATTTCGAAGAACTCCTCTTCGGACGTGAGCGGTTCCTGTCGGAGGAGCGCGCACGAGACACGTGAAATCCCACGGTTGACAGCTAACCGTGCGCGCGGACGTCAGTGGAACCCGTGAATCGTTTCCGACAACGCGTCGTGACCACGTTCTCCACGACGTTGCTCGACCTTGTGCGGTTTAACTTTTGGCAAACGCTCGTCGCCGTACGCGTGCAACCGTGTCACGCTGCAGTGTCATCGAGCACGGACGGACGAGGCTTTCGGTGAACAAATCGTCCTCTGAGGATTGTGGTGAAATTTGAAAATCACGAGGCTTTTAAACTCCATTCGCTTCAACAGTCTATCCTAGAAAGTCTAAATCTATAATTGTTATTCGATCTAGAGTTAAATTTCGTCGAGATTCAAATTCGCGTAACAGCTGAAAAGTCCATTTTTCATTCCTCGGTCGCCTCGCTCCGATCCAAAGACACATGTGCTCGGGTCCCGACGTTGGCATATGGAAAACCCCAGCACATGCGGCTTCGATCGCCTCGGGTACTCGATTCTTTCGAATTCGTCTCGATCGCCTCGGAACGTCCAGGCTCGATTTCCTGCCAGCGGAAAAGATTGGAGCCACGTGACAAGTGAAAAGTGAAGCGTCGTCGACAGTGGAGATACTCGTCGATCGTTCGGCCGTGTCGAAATCGAAAATAAAGAAAGAGAAACGTGCGAACGCGATACGAATCGATCGGGATATGTATGCACGGGTTAACGCGGAGAAAAGTAAACAAAAGTTAAACGCACTGGCGAAAGCAACGTCGGTCGATCGTGTCAGCGATTAAAACGCTGGTTGACGTAGAGGAAGATTCCCCGGTCGAATGTCGCGGCACGAGGCTCGAAACAAGTGAGAAGATCTGCGGAGATCGAAGGAGTGCGTCGGGCAGCATCGCGAGACGGTCACTCGACTCGATGACGACGATGACAGCTGGGGACGCGTTGAGGGCGCCTCACAGGGCGTCGAGGGCTGGAACGTTGACGGAGGGAGTAGGGAATGGTCAAGATACAGCCAGGCCGGTTATATGGACCATCTAGAACCTGTGTGTTGACGTTCTAAAGCCCACACGGAGTTGTCTGATCAAAGGTGACAGTTTCTACTGAAAGTTGACAGAAAGTAGTCTCGTCACCCTGTCGTGGAAGTTCGACTGGCAGGAGTGGAAGAGAGGTGCTCTAGAAGATTACCAACGATTTCTCAACGCTCACTGCTTAGATGGACCATCTAGGATCACCCGGAATTCGAGAGGAATTCTTGTGAATCCAAGAGGAAGAATTTTTTGGAAGGGTTTTGTGAATGCTCAGCTGGTGATTAGATGGTTCATCTAACGTACCAGTGATCTTATACGATACTCCAAAGATCGAACCAGTGGAGGGATGAACACGAGCACGTTTCATCTTACTAACCTACGAGCACTCTGCACCTAACCTACCCTCAGCTGCACCCGCTGTCAAGCGCGCGACAAGTGAGCCGAGCGTTCTTTGACAGGACAGGACACGTGAATAAGAGCCAGCGGCTGGATCGATCGGATACGTCGAATCGGGGAAAGGATCGAGGGGATCTCGCGGTCTCGTGGTTTTGTTCGAAATCTGTCTCAACTGGTGTTGAAGCGAAACGTGAGGCGAGAAGAGTGCGTGTTCCGTGAGCCGCCACCGCGGGACGAAAATATCACACGTGCGTCCGGAGTAAGCCGAGATTTTTGGAGGACGACGGGAGTCAAGCGGTTTTTGGGTGAGCGACCAAAAAAAGATAAATGCCAGAGAAACGGAGGTACTCGCGTGCTCCGTCTACGCGAAAATCCATCGATGAACGGAGAGACCATCGAATGGGTGATATGACATTTATAATAAGGAGTGAAAGATGTAGTTTACGCGTTCCTCGTTAGAATTCGTTTAATGGAGTAGGAAATATTTTGCATTGAACAGACAGACACATTCTTTAGCCAGTTACTTTGATTGATAATAGAAAATATTTGATATTATTTTGGGGCAGATTTAGAATATAAGATGGAACACTTCATTATGTATGAATGTTTTCTATTTTAGTATGAAAGGAAGTTCTAGTAGCTGATATCTAGAGCAATCGGACTCTTTACCGATGAACCTAACAAACTCACTTCATCTTGCATTTTACTTCAACAAAGAAACAAAAATTATTCTTGTATCAGGAAAAAGTAATACTCTACTTCATACTCCAATTTTGAACAAGTCGCGAATGCTTCGGTCATAATTGTTTCTTATAACATTTATTTACAGAATTCAGAAAAAATTCTTCATAACTGTCCAAGACACTAGCACTTAATTATCGATCATATCGAGGAAGCGAATCAAAAGCGTGGATGACTGGGTCAGCGTCGAAGTTGGGCGCACTTTCCTCGCGTTTCATTCGTTATCTGTTATTCCAATAAAGTTTCGCCCATCTCCGCTGTCGCGTTTCCACGTACGTGGGTGTCTCTTTCACGGAAGTTTCTGATTATCGACAGCTCGAAATTCGCCGTGACTCGTGGCTGCGATCGTTCGATTTTAACAGACACGCGGGAGACCACCATAAAACCCACCAACCGTTCGCAATCGTTTCGAAGCCCCTGTGCGTACGCCTGGAATTTCAGTATATCACAGCCACCGATAGATGAAACGGTTATCCAAACGGAAATTCTGAACGTTAGGCAAAAGATGAACGAACTTTGATGCGTTGTTTGTTCGATAAAAATTGCAACATGAATTCTTGTAGACAATTGATCATTAAATACACTGAATATTGAGTGTACAGAATTGTGTGTTAAAGGTGTTATGAAATTGTACGTGATTGAATGAGAGGATTGATGAAATTCAATATGAAAAATTATAATCTAAGACAATCATACGAAAATTAGAGTCAAACTGGTATAAAATGTTTAAAAAATTCCTATATATCAAAATTGTGATAAGACTCTAGATTATAGGGAAAAACATTAGTCATAGAAGGAATCATAGTATTATATTAGATGTTTAAATGCATGTAATAATTGCCAAATATAAATTGAAAGAGAAATCAAATTTCCAGTGTTTTCGCGAGCTTTGTATCGTACTATTCATATTTATAATAACTCCTGTCACCGAATCGTAATGGTATTTAAATGGTTGATAACAATACAATCTGTTTCACCGCAATGATTTTAAAAATATGCATAAATGTTTGGTACCACCATTTATACAAAACTAAAAGGAGTACATATACATTCACGCGTCATGCAATAATTAATTCAACAATTCCGAATCATAACTGAAATTTGTGCTTTCACCACGCTTGTTCATAAAATGAAATTACACAGGCCTATTAGGATTTTATTTTATATCAAATCATACAGAATATATTCAATTATTTAAGTATTCTCCACTACCACAACCTAAACTCAACCCCTAATTTCACCTCGACCTTTTAAAAACTTATCTGCATACCCATTCAATCGAAGAACCATCGGGAATAAATCACCAGATTCCTTTTCATTCGTCGTAAATCATTCGAATAAAATTTGCCGGTCTTTGAAGGAGGTAATCCGAGTTAGAGCATAGGTAAATCTCTTTCAGTCGTACGGCACTGCATGCTAAACAGCATAGACGTTTGACGTTTCGCGAAGGTCGCGTGTTCTGGTTCTCTCCTTCTCGCGACGCCGGGCGTCTCTCTCCCTCTCAAACTGTTACCTCCGTCTCTTTCGACGCGCGTCTCATCTCTGTCCCGCAGTTTTTCTTCTCGCTCTATCTTTCGCGCTGCAACTCTGCCCATCTCCGTTTCTCTATCGTCGTTTCTTCGTTCCTCCCTTCTATTCCGGTCATCCATCTCGCCCTACGCACGTACGCGCGTACCGTTGGACGTTTAACGATCGTTGCGCGCGAAATTGTCGCGGTTCATCGCTTTCCGCGAAGTGTTGCTTATTTTCCGCGAAGTCGACGTGCAACTATCGAAATCTCGGGTATGTAATCGGTAGCAGGGGGTGCGTGGTTGGGAGTAGCACCTATGGATCGTAGGAAAAAAGTCTGCCGAGTCTATCGATAGAAAAAAGTCGATGTTCCCATGTGTGCTACGGTTTGTACTGCTCGGATCTGTAAAAATGGAAAGGACCGTGATTGAGAAAAATTGTGACAAAATTGTCAACGCGATCTTCTTTGCGAAAATATAAGAGACTTCTAGATTGGGTTTTTGGGTTTTTAATTATTTGAGAAATAATACTTTTCTTTTTTTTAAGGAATGTACAGTTCGTAAGCGAGAGGAATGCATCTGAGACATCGCTAGATTCATTCTTCTCGCGCACAGACAGTACATGTGTTAGCGCGACTGTACCTAGACGGCAGAATGAATTTTAATTAAAGTTTCGACTTAAGTTTGGTAGTTGTACTACATTGTTACGTGTTATAGAAAAGGGTATTGTGATGTCGGTATTGTTGACGTTGGGGAATGTGCATTTTAAGCCACCCAGCTTAGAGTCTCAAATATTTATCATTGAATCACGTATGAAACGCGCGAATTTAGAACCGGCGTATGTCGTAATTTCATGGTTTTATGAGAAACTGTTACCAGAAACATCTGTTGCGATATACATTATCGCTGAAATGTATTTGATCATGCGTCCGGCTCGACGAAAATTTGTTTTTACTTAGCAAAAGAGTATAGTCACGTTTTTGAACTCATGGATACTTCCATTCGTAATTTGCTTGCTAAACGTTAATAAAATTATTTAGCAAAGTAAGGAATCTAAGTATTTAATACTATCTATTTAATAGATTTAGATTTTTGCTTAGTATTTTATAGATATCTAGTATTCGATAGTAAATAAACGTATTTTCTACTTTATGGAGTATTCGATACTCCTTTGCACCGAACCCTTTCAAAGGTCTGTAGTAGAACACAGTCGATTTCACTGATCTGGAAAAAGTTGCATTCTGCATCACTCGAAATTGAATCTTGGAAACTGCTCGAGAACGCACAAACCGTGATATATTCGTAGTTTCGCCATTTTACGAAAGAGAAGAGTGGCAGTGTTACAAAGCTGAACATTTTCCTGAAACACTATACAAAAAAATCTTATATACGAGCTTCCTCATATCATTAGTTGATAAATTCCCATCCATCAATTTTTAAAATATCTCGCCTCAAATATACTCCCAAGGACCAAAATATAACGATCGATATCTTCTTAAATATATATTTTATATGAAATTTTTAGAATAGCACATTTAAACTGGTAAGGGTAAAAATATAAAAGTCGGAAAGATTTTAAAATGGGAAGATCGCGAGTCCCACTGAAATTATTTATTTATAACTTAATCTTCTCAAAGACATAAATTCATGATACTACAAAAATCGATGTCGGAAGTCAGTACTAGATAAAATGTTTGTTTGTTCGAAGCAATTTCATGATACGCAACTTTTCGCCAATTTTCATATCCTTTCCGATGCCAGAGAGAAATTCAGGATTGTAAAATATGGTGTCAGTTATTTCTACGCGGAATCGTGCCACGTAGAAATAACCGGCTACAATAGACCCGCAATCTCGACCAACAAATTCCGGAACAATTACTATTGCCACTGAAACGTCTACTTTTAATTCTTCTGAAACACGAGAAAAACAAATTAAATTTCTTTTCTCGCTGTGTGTTGAAAAAGCTAAGAGCAACCGGCGCGAAACTTTCCTGTTGGAAGAAGTTTTACAGCCTCGCGAAGAGAAGCAGGAAGCAACGAAGCCACGGTTCATCGAAAAGCAACGCGCATCTTGTTGCACATCCATTAGCATAGTGATTATAAACCACTGTGGCGGGAAAACGGCGCGATATCATGTTGTGATTGTGTGCACGATTTACGGTTAATGTTTATTTCTTCTAGTTTTTATTCAAAACCGAATTTTTATAGATTTTTCATCTGTGAAAATATAGTATGTTTGTATAGCCTGGATTAATAACTTTTATAAATGGTATTCACTCATTATTACATGGATTTTATTGTATAAAGGGGAATGGATTGCACTTCAATTTTATTTGCTACTATTGGATAATTAAAATTAATCTTTGTTTAAATATTTCTCCAACACTTAGAGGCATCCATAAAAAATTACTGTTACTTGTTCTCAAAGTAATATTTTTATTATAAAACATATTATATTCAATACCTTCTTCACACAGAACTCTCATTCACAATCTGAAACAGTCTTCATTACATCAGTTTTCTTTTACATCAACCTTTGCCTCAGAAATTCGGTCATTAAACAACACTACATATTACAATTGAACAAATAACGTGAATTATTAATGAAATAACATTTGCATGAAGCTCCACGATAGCTCGAGATGCACGACAAATATTCCATTCGTCCAAAGAAACGAGATTCAAGCACGGAGTACGAGGCGGCTAAGAGCCATGGCATCAGTACATTCAGACAGAAGCGTGTCAGACGATCAGCTGTGCCGCTCGGCCCCGTGAATCATAGGTTCCCAAGCGGCGCGCGTCGCTCGCTTACACACGGGCTGCTTCGCGTTTTGTGGAAACGCAAAAATAGCGCCGTTGGCCTAACCGTTACGAAAGAGATCGCGGGCAACTTTGTACATTTTCTGGACTGATTAATACGCGACGGCATTCCCTGCACCGTCACTCGGGTCGTTAACCACCGGTAAATCAAAGAAAGCGACGGGAGGTATACTTTCGCGACGATTTTTTAGCGCTCCGCTCGTACGAAATTTCCTCTACTGCGATTCTCTTGGCGTTCGACCAGTTTCAACTTAGCGAGGCTGGCCTGAGCAACGCTTCTTTGACGTTGGATGTGTATTAACGACAATTATTCTTACTTTTAATTGGAATGGCTGCTTGTTGAAAAGTAATTAATGCGCGTGGTGGCTTCTCAGCCGTGTTTTATTTAAAAGACTTCAAAATTGTTCATTTCTACAGTCCACGAAAATGTTTAAGGAAGAAATTGTATTTCATGTCTGAAAAATTGAGGAAAGGGAAGGATTTTAAATATCTGGAAAAAATAGTCTTAACTAATATAGATAAACGTTCTGTAAGTTCGATGCATTTTATTATTATATCTTTATTTATTATAATCATTATAATTATATTTGACTAAATTATAATATAGCTTCTTTTTTAGCACCTTCAAGCTTCCTGCATTTTATACAACGAAACATGTGAACATTTTAATTTTTAACCAAAAAGAAATTCAACTATAGATCAGTTATAGATCGATATAAATGACAATACATGCTTTATAAATTTCTATGAAAAACAGACGAAGATCGCGCTGTAGATGGTTGTTTACGCCCAGACAAATAACGCTGTGATTAAATTCCAACCGAGTACTTCAGTTCGCCTCGATCTTTCGAAAGTCTTCGTTCGACGGATCTCGATAAGATAAAAATCGAACGGTTCCCGCAATACTCACAAATTGTGTTGGAAAATTTGCATGATCCGTGCTACCAAACCCACTGTTTCCAAATAAACCATACAATTTTTGTTTCAAAATAAATTGCTCGCGATCGCAATTAAATGTGAATGCTGACAGGCGTTATTCAAAAACAAATTTCAAAGCTTCTTTCAAAAAATCCTTTACATATTTAATAGACATACATATGAAATTTAATATGACAATTTTTGTACAATAGTTTATTTTGTAGTTTATTTTACAATAGCACAATGTCCTCGTAGGAGACAAGGGCAATAGTGTTAGAGAGAATCGAAATCGCTGTCGAGAATATCTAGTAATAGTGCCTGGTAACGACGTTAAATATATTTACACAAACAAGTTATCGTTCTAATTATAATTCGAGCGTGAAGCAATCGTCTGGGCGAAAGGAGGAGTTACAGGGGGTCCGATAAGAGTTTCGTATCGCGGTTTCGAGCAGTCCTTTCGATCCCGTTCTCACGATTCCCCGGGAAGCACACGCGAAACGCAAGTACGTGCATCTGCTCACATTCTTCGCGCGGGTTATCGATTCATAATCATAATCGGAGCCAGATAAGAGCCGCCGCGGCTGGTCGTGGCTGCTCGGCCGAGATACCGTTCATTTAAAACACAGGCGGGCTCGTAATGAGCAACGCTTCAGCGACGACGCCGCGAAACAGCGTCTCGACGCGCCCGATAGTGGAGACGGGCGAAATTCTTATCTAGATAAAAATTTCTTATAACAAGGAAAAAGATAAACAACTGTTTATCCGTTACTGGTCGCCTCGAGATTAGAATTTTAATTGTCGCGTGAAATATTTATTGACGATAAACACGGATTTAACTGTTCGATGGAATCAACGGTGGGAATAATTAGCAAACACTTGGGACTTCCTAGTTAATTTGAAAATTAGCAGAGAGTTCTTCTTTTTGGTTTTAGTGAAATGGTGAAATGTGTGGTAGTTTCGATTAATTATTGGTTCATTTGGTTTAGGAAATATTAGTTGACTGTGATTTACATGATACGGGTATGAATTTTAGGCGAGTGGGATTTGTAAGGAATTTTCGTGGTTACGTGCATGTTATGATATTTAAAATCACTTGAAAATTAAGCGTACAGGTTGTGCGAGTTATCGCTAAACAGGTTAAGGGAAATATGAGTAGCGTCGGATAATTGTTGCTTATTATAATTAGGAAAACAATTTGTATTACAGCTCAACTAAATTGAACACTTGATCGGGCCAACAAATGTTTACCACGGTATTCGATCATTACGTGGTATTTTTCAATGAAACTCAATTACAGTTCCTTGTTTTCTATCCTGAAAATAGTAATTTCCTGAAGCAATTACACAGGAACAGAAACAGATTGGAAAACATTTTTATTAATTACCAGTATCATTCCAATCACATCGATTACACCAAACAGATAGGGCTAGCGAACCAAACTCAGGCAGACCAAAGAATACTTCTACTAATTACAATCACTGATATTTATATATATTTATACATTGTTTTTTAATATCTATTATATTTTAATCTAAATATCCCCGATACACATTACTATCGAATCGCGCCCAGTCTCATTCACACCTAATCGTATCACTCCTGTCGTTGCGATACCTGCCGAAGCACACGCGCAAACGTGTACCGATCCCCTGGAAATAAATGAACA